GTTCTTCCTTGACTTAAGTGTGTTCACGTGTTCTGTTCGGAGAGTCAGTATGTTGTTACAAAAACAACAAATTTCCAAAAACAAAAAGGCTGAAACCAAACAAGATCATCTCATGGCGTAGACTCATTGGACAGATAACCAGGTCAGATCCTTTTATATTTTTTCCATCATTGACTTGAAATACAGAAAACTCACACTGGCATCATTCTGTCACAATGTAAATAAAAACATATAATCGAAACACTCTGTAGTTTTATCAGAGTCTCTTCAATAAGACGCATTGCTGAGGTAACTGAACTGTGTAGAAGAGTGAAAATCAAGAGACTTTCCATATTCCTGAAAAAATATGATTTTATTGTGTTAAGAGACAAGTATTTCCCTTTGTCATGTCAGACAGCAATATGTAAGATTTCTACTTAATTAAATCATAACATGACCTTACTATATTATCAACCATTAAAGAAACATGCTAACGATGCAGCAGCCAGCATGTCCTCCTTCTAAGTCCAGTCCTGAATGGTCTGTATTTGTTTTGACCAGAGAAGGTAGGCTTTTCTAAAGCACCACCACACGGCCATTTTGGACATCCCTCGGTTTGCCAGGTAAACATCAAACCAACAGGTGTTGCAGCGATGAAAGCAGGCAAACTGATTCAGATGTAACTGATTGTACCCGACCTAAAAAGCCTTGGCATTCTAAAAAGCTCCACGACCAGAAACGTGGTAAAACTAGGATAAATATTTGAGATGCTTTTGAAAAATGGAGAAAGGTTATAAAAAAAGGTTTCAAGACTGATGTTGAGCTGGCTAAACACTGAAGCTTCAGTGTCCATGACATGGCAACCTACGTGTGCATTGACAGTAGGGAGGAGGAGGCGAATTAGATTTTTGATTTTTTTAAATACTTTTTTATTCCCAGAGGGAAATTCCAGTTTACACTCTGTTATTTTAGAGACATGCTTCTCACACACATATGCACAAACATGACCTGTGGACATACATTAGTGTAGAGATGTCAGAGTGAGGGAGGTGGGGAGTTTGGTAGCTTGCTCAAGGGTACCTCGACAGTGCTCAGGAAGTGCCCTGGCACCTCTCCAGCTTTTAGAACAACTTCTTTCTTTTGAGTGCCTACAGACTGAGCTGCTCATCTGGACTAGAGAGTTACAACATTGCTCCTTTAACAGATTTAAATTTGAATATCATCTTATTGCTGCAATACAAAAGCATCTTAGTGTCAAGTACAACAGCCGCATTACATCATTTGAGAAATGAGAAGCCCTGTTGCCTTCGGGTCAGTACTATTCAAACTACGTCACCTGCCTTCCAAAAGGCTTTAATGTTGCAGGCACAAAATGAATGTCTACCAGTTTGTAGAAGTACATTCTTCTAGATTCAGCTTGAAGTACCCTGATGTTTGGACTTGTGGATTTGTGCAATTTATTAGCTATCTTAATTGCTCATGGTTGGGCTAAAGACCTTTAGTCAGCACTACAGTGAACAGATCTATTGTTTAGAGTTTTTTGCCACAAGCAAGTTAGACTGTTGTCTATGTCAGTTACTTCTTACAGTGTTTGTTTCACAAAACACACAACTGTTCAACTATTTGTGTGTCTGCTGGGATGTCCTCAGCTGATCTGCAAAGTTGAATGTTGAAAGAATTTGGCAGCAGCATTTTGCTTTATTTGAAGTTACAAATGTTAAATGACCTTTCATAATAACTGCTATATGAGGCGAGAGTGAGTAAGTTATTACTGTCTATGCAAAGCAGACAAGTTTCTCTGAATTCAAACCTATCCATTTATCGAGCATCTCCTGTCTAATTAGACTGTTTAAGAGGATTAAAATGATTATACTCATGCACATGCATAGATGTACATGTAATATAAAATTGTGAATTACAACTTGTCAGCAGATGTTCAACGGTCTCTGATCAGGATGTTGCGAAATAGTTAGGCAGTAATACAATTGAGTATTATTTGGAAAACACTCATATTTTTGAACAGATGTTTGGGGTTGGTCAGACACTGCAGGAGCTAAGTTTGTTTCATTCTTAAACCTATCTTACCTAACCTTGATTACCAAATCAATCATTTTAAGTTAACAATCTCTTAGAGTAGAAAAAATCAGAGGTTCCTTGAAACTGAACAGAAGCTAACTTGTGACTCTGAATGTGACTAAGCATTAGAATGTGTTGGATCCAAAACCAGAAGTGAGTGAAGAGATTTACAATGTTTCAAGCGGTCAGAAACACAAATCTGAATGGATAGAAATGTTACTCAACACGTGCGGGAAATGTGTTGACAACCACTTGCTCATTTGTACACCCTGAAGTCAGTGCTGATCATTTGTACATTTAGGCTCAATATGACAGATTCAATACTGAAGCTTAGCCACCATACCATGCTGTCTGCAACTTATATTGTGATAATATCCTGCACAAATTTACAATATTTACAGTATAAAATACCACTACCACTACGATCAGTGTGTGAAAGTGTAGGTGTGACCTGCAGTGTAAAAGAGCTTTGAGTAGTCGGAAGTTTCAAGCTCAAGTCCATTTATCATTTACCACAGTAACTGAGTTCACTTAGCATTAGCAGGCGAATGCCAAATTTAACTATTACTGAAGCTCCACATCTGTGAGTGCTGTGGTTTGTTGTTAGGCAGTAATTTTTGGAAGGTGCTCAGTTTATTTCTAATAAGATGTGATTTCATTGTTTACATTAGGGGCAGTTAAACAATGCTATCATTATATAATTGAAACACATTAGGGCAGAATTTTTACAACCCTGTCCGTCAAAAAGACAGATAGCTAGAAATCCTAAAGTAAACTGCATTGATATTTGTTACATTTATAATAAGCTTATTTGGGACAGGTACACACTGCATCCTTGACTGGGAGATGGGTTATCCTAGGTTACTGCACTCACATCAATGAATGTAAGAATCATTCTTCAGGCAAATGCTTTAGAGTGTTCTCAGTAACATTTTTCAGCCAGAATATTTTGGTGATGTTAGTCCTGAAATCACCAGACACATTAGGAATCCCCACATGCAAGGATAGTCCCATTAGAGATTTTATCCATTTACACTCCAAAAACAATGTCTTCTTTCATTCAGACGATTACACACAGATAAACACACTGACACATTGATTGCTAGGGCTGACGTAAGTGTATAGGAATATCTTTGATGTGGGCAAGTGATGTTTGCCACACCAAGTTGATGGCAGTAACATACTGAGCCATAGAGGACCCCCTTGCAGTAGACCAGCCTTTCCCAAACTTAAGACTGCCGCGGCCTGCTTTGAAATACAAAATTACTCTGGGGCCAGTTATAATTTTTTTTTTTTTATGACTACAGCTATCACTTTCAGTTAGGGTAAATTATTGGACATTACAACATGATATTATGGCAAGATAAACTCAAAGGTTTAGTAAACATTATGTCCATAAATAGTCATGACACACCTTACTAATCACTTAAAGGGTTGACTCATGAAAAATCATCATTATTGTGATGTTTATTTTATTTTTAAAATTGGTGGAGGGCTTTTTGCGACCCACCTGCAGTACCCAGACAGCCCACCAGGGGGCCACAGCCCACACTTTGGGAAGCACTGCAGTAGACTATTTGTTTCCCAATTTAAAGGTAGTATTCTTCCAAGGAGCAGCATACCAAGGATCCAGTCTTCGTAGCCTGTTTAGAACGGATTAAATGAAATAAGACGGTCTGGTCTACAGAGAATTTGGGTAGTTTTGTGTAATGGGTAGGAACATAGCGACGCGAAAAGAAACTTAACAGACACTGTGTCTCCTTTGGTATATAACCCATGGAAACGTCACAATAAATTCTGTTCCCTGGAGTGGCTTTGGCTTAGAAGTATGACTACTGATTACCTTGGGCAATGAGAAAGAGTAAAATGAAGGCTTCCCTACTGGAAAAGAACAAGTCAATGTTGAAACTCATGTGTATTCTATTCATCTTAAGAATGCACCTCAGCTCCAACACAGCAAGTCGATAGGACTTCATTCTGTAATTTCTGTAACCACGTGGGCTTGCTGGTCAAAATGCCAAGAATATTGTCCTCTGTTCAGATCCACAAGGGTCCTCAATCCTCATGTACCTCATGATGTATTGCACTGTAGAAAACGTAAGAATCAAGTGGAGTATAAGCAGAAACTACTTTGAGCAATTTAATTTGATTGAAGATATTCATACGGCATGAATAAATCTGCTTTTTTTTTTCTCGGTTTGCGCTGTGATACCTTCCTTGGTCCTACCTTAGAATACAATATAAAGTCGCAAAAGAACAAATGCATACTTATAATAGAGACTTTATTAATTATATTGCATTTATTGAACTTCATAGCATAAGATAAACAATGTTTGCACATGTTATCAGTGTTTATAGTGTCAATCATGCTCCTTATTTAATACTGTGACTTTGAAAAGTCTTGACTGATATTGTAATATTGTCATAAGGAGTGGCACAAGCTTTCACAAATGCACTCCTGGACATTTCTAGAGAAGTTCAGGAGGACTGCTCTTGAAAGAAAGTCAGAGTGAAAAATTTGGCTGTTAGCGGCCACACATGCAGCTCACCCTGAAAACTATAAGAGTTTTGTGCAAGTGTGAGAGCACTACAATTTTGTAAAGTGAAATGATCATTCATTGTTGGCAAGGTTCAGTTGTTATTGCTCTGGTGGTCATTGGTTTCAATTAGTTTTGCTTCAATATCTGGAAGGTTGTGCATGCAAACGTTATTTTTGAAGACTGCCTGCCATGTCTGTTTTTAAAATGGAAAGGTCTCACTGATCATTGCTTTGAGAGCAAATCATAATGTGAAACATTCGAATCAGCAACTGATACATGACCATTAGACCCTGTGTGCTTCTCATAATCATAAAACTCACAAAATGCATTCATTCCAACACCTAGCTTTATGATCTAGTTTTGTGACTCTCTCTCTCTCTACCTCTCTCTCTCTCCTCTTCCCAGGAAAACCCTGATTGGTTGAGAGCAGTGAGCAGAAGTGACCTCTGTCCTTGAATATGGGAACATCAACATTGGGAAAGGCAGCATCTCTTGATGCTCTTTTAAATGAATGCATTCATGCATTTGGTAAGTGACACATATGACAAGACTGCTATCAAGGCTTTATTATCTACCTAACAAAGTGGGCACAGGTAGGGACCCGGGCGTTAGTGGCCCAATTGTGCAGCGATTAGTTTGAGGTAATTAGATTAGATGAAATACAGTGGAAGGGGCTTCATGGAAAATATTATCTGAAATAATGTGTTGAAGAGAGGAAAAAAAAATCTACATTCAATCACATTAAAGATTATATTATTAATAATAATAATAATAATAATAATAATACATTTTATTTAAAGGCGCCTTTCAAAGCTCTCAAGGTCACCTTACAGAGCAGAGATAAAAAAACAAAACAATGCATGATTTATTTTAATTCTGTCATTTCTTTTTGTATGTAGTTGTATCAATACATTTAAAGATAAATACATTTGCAGTTAGTGTTTGATCAAGCGGCAACAGTGTTGAAAAATTAAGCCAATGAGGAATTGTTAAATCTTGCAGTTCCTCAAGGGTCCATTTGAGGCTGGCTCCAAGAGCACAAAGACATCACATACACACCCATTCAAAAATGCCAATTTTTACAACAAAAATATACATGTTTAGAGCCTGGTAAAAAAAATAGGGTGGTACATTTTTTTTTTATAATGCATCCTTTTTGATTTTATGAAATATCAATAGTTAGGCATGAGGCTGACCTGATTGTTTAACAGTTAGGGCGTGGTCACATTAGCCATCCATACCGTGCCCAAGCACGCTTCAACGCTAAAGTCCAGTTCATTTGTCCAGTGTGAGCGCTCCGTATCGTGCTCAAGCTCAATACACTTCCTTGGCTTTGGCACACTTCAGAGAGGTGTACTTCAGCACGGTACACTTCATGCACGAGCACAAACACGCTGGTACACAACGCTGACAGCCTTCATTAAGGAGAAATCCAGAGTTTTATGTCTGTAACTGACTAAAATGACTCTGACTAAAATGTTTCTCTGTCCATTTTAATGTGCAGTCCATGTGATAATGATGGAACCTGACTCAGTTTGAACACAGCTCATTAATAATATTTGTGTAGTTTTTAATGATCAAAAATACAGCCGTGTGTCACAGAGAAGATGGTAGTCAGGCTTTGAATACACATCCAATGCTGTTAATAGGTAATATTAAATGTTTTTATGGACTTTTTAATGAATTTGTTTCAAGAATATTACACAAAATACTTAGAGGGACTTTTTAAGATATATCAGAATACAACATGACTACGCTTCCCTCATGACCACTAGTGCAGTCACTAACAGATTCAATTTGGTAACATATTCTGAATCACTTCTTTTTACAGATGACAATGGACAGTTGCAGGCCAACCTGCTTCCCCGCAACCTCCTGATGATGCATCGCTGGTATGTTACATCCTCCGAACTGGCGGGAAAGCTTCTGATGATATATCCTTTCTGACAGAAAGCCTGCAGGAACTACTTCTACACATTAACACAATACTTTAACAACATTTTAAAATAATCCTGGCTAACTGTAGTAAAGGCTGCTCCAAATATGTACGTCCCAATTTAAAACAATGTATTCTGAGATATTGGGATTTACAATCTATATTATTATTGATATATTTATCATGAAAGATTCTTTCATTTTGCTTATGAGACTTAAATCATTGGCTGGGATAGGAATCTTTGGAGAAACCAGCAAGAGACAGCTAGATCCAAAGCCTTCTCTTAGGCCTAAATCCAAAGTCAGTCCCCCTGGATGTGTACTGGTGGAGGACAAGTACTGTGATGTGAATGTTACAAGTCCATGAGCGAGCTCTTTATTTGTATAGCACCAATTCATAAAAGCAGGTAAAATACCTTACTCTTAACCAACATTAATCCACCATGAGCACAGCACTGAGCAACATTTAACAAACTTACAGTGGCTAAAATACCTTTTTGCTGTCAGAAACCTCGAGCATAACCAGACTCATGGTGAACAGCCATCTGCCCAAACTGTGTTGAGTATGGAAAGTGGGATAGAGGGAGATGCAGGAAGAAGTAGAAGGGTAAGACATATTGTATGTTAAAGTGGAATTGATCCAGTCCTGGATCGGTGCCCTTGAAACTGCTCAGTAAGTGGTCTGTAGTGTTGACAGCAAGGCGCCAACCTCCATTGTTTAAAAATGAAGCCAATGTAGAGGTTGCAAAAAACTGCAGTTCCTCAAGTGACAACTTAAGGATGCCTCCAAAAGCTAAGGAATCACCAATGCCCATTTTTACACCAGAAACAGACATGTTTACAGTCTGGCAGAAAAGACACATTTGGTATCATTAGCTAAATGATTGGTACTTTATTGGTATTACTGTGTGCAGGGTGAATTTCTTCATGACTCATCCGTTTTGATTGTATGAAGGGGGCGTGGTGGAGTTGACTGACAAGTGGGTATGTTGTTCTGTTTGCCAGAAGGCCTAAAGCCTGCCTCACCTCCTCCTCTTTGCAGGTCTCTAGATTGAGCATAAAGTTAGGTTGAGAAAGTATTCCAAATATAGAGGCCGCCATCGTTGGGCTTCATAACACCTCTTCAGAAACTAACAAGACACTGAGACTATGACCATGTTTTATACAGTCTGTAGCTGACAGTAAACACATTGTTGAAGAGCAACCCTCTTTGTCTAAACCACCTTGAAATCTCTGACAGTTACTCCTGTATTTTTCATAGTTGGAATCATCCAGCTCTGTATGTTAATATAAAGGGCAATATATGTGGGTAAGGTTATGTACAATTGGGATATGTTTTAGTACATTGCAGTATCTTTTTGTACTAAAAGATTAAGTTTCAGCAGGTTTAGTTAGATAATAACACTCAGATGAGATGTAGGGTCTGCGTGACGACAAAGAGAGAACATTTAAATGTGATGCTACTGGACGTTAATGCAGGTACGCAGTCTTTCCATATTGCCTACAGTATAAAAAGAGTGAAGGACATAACAGTGGCGTATTCAACAAGTTACAAAGTTGATTTTTCTTTTTTTTCTCTCTCCAAGGACAACAACCAACACATTGCATTTCCACAATTCATCTTCTATTGCATACTTCTCAAATCTAGCTAAATGTGTCGGAATTCTCCAAAGTTGCCAATCCAAGTTTTTAGAAAAAGGGCATATAAACAAGCTCCAAATGGCCTCTATCATTGTCACATGTCTCAGAGTCAACAGCCTGCCTTCACAAATATAGAAGCAAGAAGATAGCATGCATTTTGCTGATAAAATGTATTGGACATATTTTATCTTTATTCTCTTTGATGTTTTCACACATTGGTTTAATCTTCGAGACAACATCTGTCAAGGAAATCAGTTTCAGCAGAGGATTTTTTGGCACAACTTCACCAACTACCAAGGTGCATGAAGAGTGAAAGGCTTGAAGAGGTCAAAAAGATCAACTTTATTAACAAATTAGGTAGACCTAATTTTAAATTTGATCTTCGTACTACAAGTGATGCTGGAGCTTTTTGACCTCTTCATGCCCCCATAGCTTCTGTTTAAGTAATGTTTAGGGAGAGGAAGAAACCCCTGCTGCTAAGAAGCTTGATGTCTGTAAAGATCATAAATGCCAACAAATTAGGCTGGTCTCCTGTTTTTCAGATACAAAATGAAGCAAAATCATCCTAAAACTGTGATTATTCATTTTCTTTCGAATTCAAGTGGGCTACTTAATATGCTTAAGTTTTATACATTAAGGTGTATTCTGTCAGATCTTGGAAAAGTCCTTGACTTACCCCACGTACCGTGACTGCAAAGATGACAACTGTCAGATAACCAGGCTGAAGATTTGTTATTTAATGAGGTAAGTTGATGCATCATTCATCCATCTAATTTCACCTCTTGTCACAGTTTTTCATGCAGTTATGTAGTTGTATGTGTACAATTTAACATATAAGGTTTAATACTTCAGTCAGTTTTTATCCTCACAATGCTCTTTCCTTACCCTGTTGTGTTAACACTGAAAATCAACAGTTATTTTTAAACTTGGCTCAAGCCAGTGACTAACCCTTTGTTATAAGGCAAACTCTGTAGCAGAGTGGGGTCACCGAGGGGGGAGGACATCCAACAATTCAAAGTTGTGAATACAGTTGAAAGAACTTCCTGAACTGTAACACCACAATACTGGCACATGAGTCAAGTTCACAGGGCCCTTTTTAATCCAACGGAAAGCTTGAGAATACTAAAATGAGATGTTTACTGGCATCACTGGCACAGGCTCATCATGTCACCATCTTTACAGGTACTGGATAGTCACATTCCCGGCAGAGTTCAACCTGGATTTGGGTCTGATCCAGATCACAGAAGAGTTCAGAGACGTGGCTGCTCAGCTCGGCTGTGAGGAGCATTTCAAATTCCTCGACATCTCCACAATGTAAGGCAAAAAGATCAAACAGAGACAGTTTATGGAACTATTGTAATATTAAGCATTAGTGAACATGTATCAGATATTCATTTGCCAACAATGATGGTAAAGTTGATCCTAATTCCAATCTGAACACTTAAACAGATAAATGGCAAACCCTGGAGTCAATGCAATTAAACATTTCTATGGATACAAATGTTTTGCTTTTTATAGCTGTTATCTATCATCAGACCTGCCTTAATCAACATAACCACAACCTTTAAAGGACAATAGTGAACATTCTGGAGCTTTAAGTCTGTTGGTTGCAAATTGTTCCAATTGATATCTTTGGGTCGCGTTATTAAAAGTACATCATAAGGACCTATTTTTATGTTGGCTATGTTGTATACATTGTTCTCTTTGTAGTCCGTCCTATGACTGGATGCGTAAGCTGACCCAGCGGAAGAAGCAGGCCAAGAAAGGCAAGGCCTCACTGCTGTTTGACCACCTGCAGCCCATGGAGCTGGCCGAGCATCTCACTTTCCTTGAGTTCAAATCCATCCGGAGGATATCGGTTAGTCTACAAACAGCTCTGCTTCTTCACAATGGTCCAATTGTTTAAACTTTGCCACTGTATCAAGGGGGGGAGGGGTTGTTTAAGGTCACATAGTTTATTTATTCATTTTCACTATAAATGTCATTTTAAATTACTTCATTACCTCTTCATAAAAGTTAAATTACTAGAATAAGCCTCAGTGCATAGCTACTTTGACCAATTTTGAAAACAAGAAGGCAACCCTTCAAAGCAAGACAGTGTATCCTATCATTTGAAAGAAGAAATAACACATTCTTTCTGTTAAAGGTTAAATTCATAAGAAACAAATTAGATCCTTGTTAAATTCTGGAAACTCAAGGGGTTTTTCCTGCTACAGCCTCGATTAGTCTGGTGTGAAATAACTGAACCATGTGCGATTGAAATTCACTCCTTTAAATATGGGGACCATTGGTGCAAAAAAAAAGAAGCTGGGAAGCTAGCATCTGCTGCAGAGCTTTGATGTGAATCCAGCCTGCCTCTGTGTGAACTGCCTTGTATTCACAGGACAGGTGGTTACTTGTTAACAACACCAGGAAGAAGATCAGAGTCTGTAGTCATGGTCTTGTTTGAGATTTTGATAAAAACCGCGGACTCTGTGTGAGTGTTTGTCCTTGAATAGTGATATGGTGACATTGGCTGTTGCTTTGGTCAGCATGCATACTCACATTTTTCCCACACATGACAAGGGATAGAACTGAAAAACACCAGATTTACAAAATATCATTCAGAATCTGAAAGATAAAATTGACGCATGTGCTTGATATTCCTCTAGCCACCATCAGGGTGTATTTTTAACTCTTCCCACAGGATGAATACTTTGGAAATTCCATGAACCCTCCTGACTGAAGCCAAGGGCACATTGATGTGTTTTAGCAGATAAACCCAAAGCTTTTCCTACACAACTGCCCTCAAGCCAACAAAAAAAAAAAAAAGTCTGTTCCACATTTTTCAGTTGTCCGGTGCAACCTTGCAACATGAAACAGAAAATTTAAGAATAATGCTCCACAGTAATTACCATGCAGGCATTAGAAAAACAATAACGTTGGATTATTTTGACATGAGCACAAGCGTATTGATTGTTTTATTAGCTGACTACTTTACTGGGACTTTAACTGGCATTATTTTACTTTTACTTCACACTAGCTAGCCCACGATGCAATGTTCACAGTACAGTACGGGCAGACTCTGGTGGTCTTACCTTCAGCATCGTGACATGGACATAAGCCTCAATCCAGTTACTGTATCCTTTTTTATGAATCCTTTTTGCGATCCTGATAAATTCATTTCTCACATATGGGCTGGGATGTATATCTTAGTTTGTAAGCATGATGCTAACACATAGTGGAAAATGCTATTAACTAACTAAATTAGCATTGGGATAAACTTAACTTAAGAAACAACCAATTAACCTAACATACTCAACAAACAACACCATGCACTCATACTAACAGGCATATGTTTCCATATGAAGCATTTGAGATGCACTTAAAAAAACTGCTTACTTATGCTAGTCCTGTCTGCCGGAATACCATAAACACGTCACCAATCAGTATCTTTAAACACGTAGAACATTATAAGTCTACATTTATATTGCAGATTATACATGTTGTACTTTGCTCATTTAAAATTTGTATGTATAGCCTTTCCTTAAAACTAATATTGAAAATATCATTCATTGAAGGTCTGTCATTCACCTTGAGGGGAGTGGGTGGGCGGGGCTCCAGTGCTCTCTTTTGACCAGAGGGTCGTGTGGGAATATGGTCTATTGTCATTACGATTTATTAAGAGGTCCTTTGGGCACTTAAAATAAAATACAAAATAGATGGGATCTAATCAGTAATTGTCTTTTCTTTTGCTACCAGTTCACTGATTACCAGAGCTATGTAATCCACGGCTGCCTGGTGGACAACCCGACTTTGGAGCGCTCTATTGCTCTGTTCAACGGAGTGTCACAGTGGGTCCAGCTTATGGTGCTGAGCAAGCTAACACCTCAGACCCGGGCAGATGTTATAACCAAATTCATCCATGTGGCTCAGGTAAGACAAAGAGAAGACTGAACTAAAGTCCCTTACAGAGCAGTTTCATATATTATGATTTTAGGAGGGCTTTTAAACATGGATAGCACTATCCTCATCCTACTCTGTTATTATTGACCTTTTTATTGCCTTTGTTACTGTAGCATATTTAAGTAACATTTTTTATGACTCCTTGTGCCTTACTTTTGCATTGCCCAGAGTTTGCTCTGTTTAACCCTCAAAATGAGGGTTGGACATCAAGCCCATACTCTACTTTAGCTATTTACTTTAGATCAGAAGTTCTCAACTGGTCTTGCCTCAGGACCCACCACCAACTCCATAAAGTGAAATTGTGACCCACATTCATGACCCACAATCAGATTTAGTTAATGAAAAATTGTGCAGTTTGGACGTCAGGTGGTACAAAACATGTGACAGAATATAGAAATGGAAGAAAACAAACATGTTTGAAAAGTGCTTCGTAGAGTTTTTGAAACCGTCTTTTCCAGGCACATATTTTCGATTTCAAATTTGACTCACTTGTGGGTCCAGATCCACCAGTTGACAACCACTTGTTTAGACCACTTAGTATACTCTTGGTTGAGCCTGGGCCCTAAATTTGTCAAATAATTATAGTAAAACATTCTCTTTGTTTCCCTGGTTGCATTTATTGCTGTAGATTCAAAGTCTACAGTGCATTTTACTATGTGTGTTTATTGCTTATATCATATGTCATATTATTATTAATGGGAAAGGCACTGTTCCCCAAATAAACAACTATCATCCCATGATAGTGAATATAATGTTGTACAAATTGGCCAATCACAATTCATTCTCACTTACAACTCTTGAACATTTTGCAATAGAGCAGAAGACCAGGAAACAGAATCTTTATGAATAGATAAATAGTAAAGAAGCAAAACGTGTCTTTTCATCATTTCAATCTCTGTGATCAGAAACTTCTGCAGCTACAGAACTTCAACACTCTGATGGCCGTAGTGGGGGGGCTGAGCCACAGCTCCATCTGTCGACTGAAGGAGACTCACTCTTATTTGGCTTCAGAAGTTGTGAAGGTAAGACCTACTAGAGTACACATGCACTCCTGCAGCATATGAAGCTACCAAAAAGCACAGCACTTTATTATGTTTAGTTAAAAGATATACTGTGATTGGATACTTTAAGGCAAACCTAACATGCAAACCTTTCTTATGGACACGAATACTTAGGCCCTGAAAAATGCAGCTTGTAATACTCTTACCCCAAAAAACAACTAATTTCACTCCATACAAATTAACTTACATGTGATTTATTTAAAAACAAATTAAAAGGTAAAAAAAAGTGGAAAGTGGAGCAGGCAGAAGACGGAGAGGATGGACTTTTCTCATCATTATTAGTGTTAGAAAACATGGTACATTTGCATAATATGTGACATTTAAGATTACCTTTTTAACTTATTTCATTTTGATTCATTTCATGAACTGGTGTCTTAAATGCTCTTGCATCTTGATATTTTTCTTCAATAATTTCTGCAACCCATTCAGTCAAATAAGGGGTTGGCCGTGACTCAAAGTCGGTCGTCAATCCACTTGGGCAAGACACTTGGCCACTTCACAAAGCAACCTCTGCCATTAGTGTGTGAATGGGTGTGAGAGGGTAGGTGCTTCCCGCATTTTTTTATTATCACAATACCAAGAGTTATGCATACATTTGCATAAGGAGCATGGACAATTTGACTGACAGGTGGGTGCGTCGTGGCTGTTATGAGAACAATACAATACTGAATTGTCCCCTGGGGGAAATTTGTTGTCACAGCTTACACATAGCAGAGCATGTGCTGCCAGCCTCTGCTTGAAGGAGGCTTAAGTTAAGCCTCAATGTAACTATGCATAGACTATGCCCACGTTTTATAAAGTTTCTGATGTGAATGCAGCAGCCCCAGGAGAAATCAGAGATATAAAGATATTTTGTGGTTGCTACAGATGAGCAAGCAACCTTTAATCATCTTCATGCTGCCCTTTTGTGGTTTAGAATTAGTCTACTGTAGCTCTGTCGTTGGCCTCAAAGCTCACCTTCCATCAGGTACTTGCTGAGCTTGATGTTAATTTCATTTTGGGATAATAAATAAAAACAGTTTTACCTAAATTTGAACTCCTGCACTTCATCTTGGCTTAGAAAAGTATTTGTAAGTCATGTCACATTTCACTTTTTTTCTGTTTTAGTCATGTTACTTAGCCAAGTGTTCCCACTCTTGCTTCAGATCTGGAGTGAGATGACAGAACTGGTCTCTTCTAACAACAACTACTCCTGTTACCGGAAAGCCTTCAGTGAATGCCAGGGCTTCAAAATCCCCATCCTGGGTGTGCATCTCAAGGACCTTATTGCAGTGCATGTAGTCTTCCCTGACTGGGTTGATGACAGTGATAAGGTGAACCTGGTGAAGATGCATCAGCTCTACATGACCTTCAATGAGTTGGTGTCTTTGCAAAGTGCAGCTGCTCAAGTGGAGCCCAACATGGACCTCATCTACCTGCTAACGGTGAGGGATTACCAACCAGCAGGTAATATGTTGAAGACAGAAGGGGTCGTGGAAAGATTGTCCCAAAATAGATAAGTGTTACTGGCTTGGTAGAGTGTACGTAAGAGTATTATTTTTTGAATTCATTTTACTTTACTCATGCTGTTAAATGTTGCTTGTTAAGGACATGTCCTAGCTTTGTAATATCTTCTGATAAATACCGAGAAATATAATAGAATGTTTTTATTTGACTTAGTAAAAAAACAAACTTCTTCTCAGTTTTCCATATTTTTAAGTAACTATATACAACATCTTCATATTTCCAGCTTTCTTTAGACCTTTATTACACAGAGGATGAGATTTATGAGCTGTCATTACTAAGAGAACCACGTAACCCCAAATCATTGGTGAGTTTAAAGCTAACATGGTTTGTATTTTATGTTCAAGTTTGTCCAGAGAAATGAATTCATTTTTTGCCTTTGTTGATCCATCAATAGAGCTAGACATATGCACACTTGCAAACTATGTAAATTTCCCAATTTTAAGTCCTGTGCACATGTTTCGTATCCTTTTTCACAGCCTACCTCTCCAACTACTCCCAACAAGCCCCTGGCTCCACTGGACTGGGCCTCCGGTGTCACCACCAAACCAGACCCTTCACTGGTCAACAAACACATCAGGAAGCTGGTGGATGTGAGTAGTCAACACTTTGAAAGGATGCAGTATTCAGCATTACTATAGATATCTACAGAAAGAGCCTTCGATTTGGTAACTTTGTGTGAATAATATGTTTGGAGTAATCTGTTTCTTCTTCGGAAGTCTGTTTTCAGGAATTATGACCACGACCATGATGGATACATTTCTCAAGAGGACTTTGAGAGCATCGCTGCTAACTTTCCTTTCCTGGACTCCTTCTGTGTTTTGGACAAAGATCAGTAAGTATGCACTACTATTGGCTTCAGTTTCTTATTTAAATAACAAACATTGGTCCGACGTCTCAGGAGGGCTCCATCACAACGGGGTTGCCCACAGAAGAAAGGTCAAATCACAGGTTGCTGTACATTTTATTTTAAGGTAGCATCAATCAATCATCAATCAATCTTTATCTGTATAGAGCCAATTCATAACAACTGTCATGTCATGTCACTTTACAAAAAGCAGGTAAAAGACCTAACTCTTTGATATTATCTACAAATAAAAAGTCCAGACCTCTAAGTACAGATTCTACATTTTTTTTGTTGAATCTGTAAATAAAGATTACTTAACAGGAGATGTTTTTGATGTGAAATAGTTTGCCGGTCAAATCTTTAACTTTTAGTTTTAACTGGTTATGAAGCTGTTTCAATTTAATACAGACAACTCTACAAAACATATCATTAGCAAAAGATCAAGATCTTTTTGTTGGCTTATTTTGGTGATACGATAAGTCCTAACTAAACATGAATGTTATTTAAAGGTATCATCTTCCTGTATTCATTCTCTGTCTCTGGCCCTCTTTCTGTCAGAGATGGATTAATCAGTAAGGATGAGATGATAGCCTATTTCCTTCGGGCTAATCCACTGCTCCAGTGTAAGATGGGACCAGGTTTCATTCATGACTTCCAGGAGATGACTTACCTGAAGCCCACGTTCTGTGAACATTGTGCTGGATTTGTGAGTATCTCTCTTAATCTCTTAGCTTTCATGCTTCATGCTATTTTTTGGGAATGATTTGCACGCACATTCTTTTGTTGTTAAAAAATAAACTAATGATGATAATAAAAAGTTTTTTTAAATGACCATATCCCCCCTTTTTCTCAACTTTCGTGACCTGCAGCTTTGGGGAATCATCAAACAGGGCTACAAGTGTAAAGGTATTGTTTTATTGCACGTCTCACGTCTAATCTGATTTTGAAATTGAGGACTAAAAATACAACGTGCATATTATCTTATATATGATCTTGTATACTTTCAACTACAGATATGCTTATATGTCAATTTGTGTCCATCAACTTGTCACTTTAAATTGCTAAAAAGGATCGAGTAATGGAATGGGATCGGTCAAACAAATTGGCTACTTATGGGCCTCTATGTGACAACTGCACAGAGCATACTGGTATTATAATAGTTTTGGGCTCTGATTTATCAACTTGACAAATAGAGACTGTACGTTGTTTTTAGCTGTTCCAGTTGTACCTTCTTGATATATTCATCTGTTACCCTCAAAATCGGCCATGCTAGCAAACAAGATCACAGCTGGAGCAACTAAACTCATTTACATAACACCTTTATAATGGATGGAGATAGCCCGGAGATAGCCCGGATGCAGCTGCAAACAATAATATAACATTTCTTGACAGAATGAACATTTGGCCAGTGAACCAGTGTCTTATATTGTTTTTGTGATATGTAAAAGAAAATTGTAAAAACTACTTGAATGAACTTAATGAACCTCTGTATATGGGGTTCCTGCTCTACCAGCTGAGCAGCATCTCAAAGAATGAGATGAGATCATTGTGACAGACACTTCATCAGTGTATGAGTTTTGGTGTTTGACCATGCTTTGACTGGTCAAGCAGACTAGAAAGGCGCTATGTAAGTTAATTTACTTTGAAGGGTCATTCACCAAGTTTTAAATAAAATTGTATTTCATGAAGTCTAAGTGGAATACATAATTTAGTTACATTTTTTTGTGTCAGTTTGAATAAACTATATTTAAAACTGCTGTCTTATTGTTCATAGATGATCCCTTGAACATTTTCTGGCATCTGACTTAAAGCTTAGAGCACTTTTACTGAAGGCCAAAAAGCTCCTAGTTTTTCTCTATTTCACTTCTTTAACAAGCATCATGCAGTGTTATAGAGGGTAAGGAGACGTAGTGTGGGACTTCTACATCCCCCCCCCCCCGAATATAAGCTGATGTTTGTGTGTTTACATTGCAGACTGTGGAGTTAACTGTCATAAACAATGTCGGGAGCTGTTGGTTCTGGCCTGCAGGAAGCTGATTCGTTCCAGCTCTCTGGGTAGTGTTTCTCCAGCCAGACTGACCCACAGCTCACTGCCAAGCAGCCCCGCCCTCCCCACCTGTGCAGGTCGTTCTCTGCTACAGACATTTCTAAATGACCACGTTAAGACTAATATAATAAACTAATTCATTCCTAATGTTCTGTGTTCCCTTCTCCAGATGAGGATGAGGTGTTTGAGTTCCCCTCTGTCACATCAGCAGCTCCAGCTATGGACCCTCAGTCCATCACCCTGATGACCGGCACAGCTCAGAGGATCTCCGTGCGTCTGCAGAGGGCCACCACCAGCCAGGCCACACAGACCGAGCCCCTGTGGCCTGAACACAGCTGGGGGGGCACAGACAGCGGATCGCACACTTTCCCCAAAATGAAATACAGGACTCACAGGAAAGCATCAAAGAATAAAGGATTTGCTCGTTGGGAAAACCAGAATGACGGGCAGCACCAGGCAGTTTCTTCCCGGTGCAGCGTGGACTCTCAGCAGAGGTCCGACGTCTCAGGAGGGCTCCAACGCAACGGGGTCGCCCACAGAAGAAAGGTAAAAGCACAAGCTGCACATTTTATTTTTAAAAGAAGCATCAATCATCAAACAATTTTTAGTAGAATTGTGCCAATTCATAACAAATGAGCACAGCACTTAGCAGCATTTAGCAATGTTACAGTGGCAAGAAAAAACGCCATTTTAAAAGGCAGAAATCTTGGGCAAAGCCAGACTCCTGACGAACAGCCATCTGCCCAAACTGCCCAAAATGTGCAATATAACTTGTTGATAAAAACAAACACAATGTTCATCTGGAGACCAGACTCTTTAGATGAGGTAAAATTTCAGATTGTAAACCCAGAATTGACTTTAGGATTAATAGATTTTGCACATGATTTCCAGAGGATATACTTGATTTCTGCTCGGATTATGTGGAGAATGTCGCACATTCTTCCTTTAAACAAATGCAGGGACAGTGGTTTAGATGAAATACCTTGAAGCAACATTCTGGAGGAATTTGGTTTGGTGTAATTTGGCACCCACTAAAGGTCATTCAGTGCAACTGCACTGTTGTCAAACACTGTATTCACATAGGCAGCTCGGCGTCAGACTTGTAGCCGACTGTTTCACTAAGCTCTCACTAACGTGTAAAAAAAGCCTGTTGAATATTTTCCTTGCTCGGCCACTCTCTGCATGTCTTCTTAGGTCCTAATCTACTCTGCCTCAGCCAGTGTATCAAACAGTACCGAGACGGGTTAACTGGCTTCTTTTTATCTGAGGGCTGGTGTGTGAACTAGTACTGCATAGTCCGACGCATACGAGCTGCAGCTGGCTGCTAAAGCCACATAGTGCTGGAAGCAGGTGACTGGGGAGCTCTGTGGAAATGGGATAGAAGCCATCCTCCCTGTTGAAAGTTATTGCACTAATAGATCGACTTTGAAACGACTATTTTAAGGAATTTAAGGTGGAACAAATTGTTGCTTGAATATACGTCTTATAATATCTTGGCTCTTCCTCTCCAGGACAGCTGACTTGGTCACGGTGGTGAAGGCCAGTCCCAAAGGGCCAGAAAGGTCCAAGTGACTGGGACCAGGAAGCTCTTCTGTCTGGGGGATGTGCTGGGCTGCCTGAAGTCCCCCCACAGTGAGCTGGAGTTCTCTCTTCCTCTCTAGACTTCAGCCCACGCAGAGCTTCATATGGACAGAATGTCTGAACAGGACAGTGTGTGTGTGATCTCTGTGAGAAGAGAGACACAGATCAAGGAGAGGGCTCAGTGGATGATGGACTGACCCACACTGTGATGTCACCTCTGTCCTGGCCTTCTGTGCAGGGTGATCGGTTAGGGATCAGTGTAGTTTATTACAGCAAGGCTTAGGTCTAAGTAATGATCCAGGGTGTAGAAAACATCAACACGTGAACAGTCAGAAGAAACATTTTTAGACTTAAAGTCTTGAATTATTTTCGTTTGGTGGATCAATTCTGGCCAGTTATTGTAAAGTCCAGCGGGAATCATGAAGCAAGAAGTAAAAGTTAGTGAAGTTGATGGTCTCTTTCCAGAGGAGGAGAAACTGTGTAGATATTTAAATGTTGAGTTGTGAAAAAAGGGAAAGTGAAAATGAAAGTGAATATTAAGGGCATCCAACCCCGTCGCCATGAGGAGCATTGACGTTGGATGATTCTACAAAATATGGTATTAACTTAAGTGCCGTTTCTAAGTGTTTATTGAGATTTTTTAAAATAATTATTTATTTATTGATACTAATGCTGCATTCATGTGCTCCTCGGATGGTCCAAGTTTCCGAGTTGGGAAGTCGTTCTTTTTAACATTTACAAAACATATTTTGCCCGATTATGACACCAAGTCGAGCAACACATTTTTTCCCAAGCTGGCTTTCATGCACATTTTACCAGAGATGAGGGATTCGAGTCACGTGACTAGACTCGAGTCAGACTCGAGTCACATATTTGAGGACTTGAGAATTGCTTGACTGACAGTGATAAAACACTTGACTTGACTTAAGACTTTGCCTCTACGACTTGAGACTAGACTTATTTTACTACTGGGAAACTCGTTTTTCCGATGTGTCTGACACTACATGAATGCACCATTAATCTGCACCTGTCAATTGCATTGTGTTTAACCCTTTCATCGTCAAAATGGTAGAAGAGACGCATTCATGAGTTTCACTCAAGGCAAAACTGACCGAAAATCCTGAAATCATTAGGTGTTGAATTCTTTCAGATACTCAAATAATGTCAAATAGAGGAATTCAGTAAAATACATTTTTACTTAAATGTGTGCATGGAAATGATTAAACTAAGTAAAAGCAAAATAATGTTTTCTCAAATCAATCATATCACATCTGTTGGATTGTACAGCTCCATATCTCACTTCCTATTTATTTGATATTATAAAGTTTATTGTTTATACTTTTGATTTCCTCATGATTTTTGGTCTTATTCTCATTTTAAATGCCTTACCTGCTGATTCTATTTTCTAAAGCACCATGTGACATTGGTAGAAAAAGGTGCTTTACAAATAAAGTTTATTTTGAGATGGAAGCTAATTCTGCCACAAAACGTTGTGTTTCTTTTTTACTTGAACGTCTGAAGCAGTGGCGGTTCTAGACCACTTTTACTGAGGGGGCCAAACTGGGGCCAGTTGTTTTGTCAGAGAGGAACATTAAACCCAGGTGAAAAATAGACTAAGATGATCACTTTAAAATATATATATTATGCCAAATAATAGCGCACATCATTAAATACCATGATTTACATTTGATCAGTAACAGTATTTAATAGTAGATTGTGAGTCAAATACTGTGTATGTGTTATTAGGGGGGCTCTTCCTTTTAGAGGGGTGGCCACAGGGGGGACTAAGCTCAGTGTTACAGGGGCACTGGCCCCTGTTGGCCCCTGCCTAGAACCGCCCATGGTCTGAAGACAGACTGTAAAACAATCATCAGTGTGCAGCAGGTGTGAAAAAATACATCTCATATGATTGCATTCTTGTATACAGTCATACATGAAAGACCCCGCCTCTGGAGAGCACGACATAAAATGCATGACATTGACAATGTTTTTTTTTTTTTTAAAGCTATTTTAAGTTAAGATAAGACAAGATATGAAGCACAGACTAAAGCTCTTTGCTTATGTAGGTTTAGGGTGTGTATTGATATGCTGCCACAAATGTTGTACTAACTTATAGTGGTGAGAGAGTTCAGAGAGACGTTTGAAGTTAGTGTCAGTTGAATGTGACATGGAGAGACAGTCGCAGCAGATGGGTGTGATGTGGAGAGCTGACAAGAGGGCTGGAGGTCTCTGCTGAAACAAAGCTAACGGCTGATTAACTGGGAGGGTAACTCAGTCTGTCGGGACCTGGGTTGGTAAGCGGAGGGTCGTTGGTTCAAGTTTCAGGCCTTGGTGTCTGAGTGGCATGTGTCACAATAACAGAGTGGAAACCTGAATTTCCCCATGGGGATTAATAAAGTATAAAATAATTCAAATAAAATAAAAACTCTTCAATGAAACATTTCATGCAATCACAGTTTGCACTGGGCTAAAAGTCAGTTCAAAGCAAGAAGCCGACTCTTTAAACCTACATCAATGGAACAATTGTATGAATGAAACAAACGTAGTACAGTGATAATAACTTTAATAGATCACTACCCCTTTTTCAGACTACAAACAACCAAATCTGACAAATTGAAGATTAGACCCACAGCTTACTGTCTATTGGTGAAGGCCATAGATTTAAAAAAATATATTTTTCACGAATGAGGTGCAGGGGTGGATCCAGGGGTGAAAAAAAATATGAAACAGTATGCACATCCAAAAACTTAAGTACTGGGTGCTGAACAAAAAAACATCCAAAGGTAGAAAAAATGGTACACACACCAGAAGTTGCTCCAATTAAATTAAATTTAATGGAAAATACCTGTAATGTTTTGGGCCCTTGCCCTTCATCAGACATGAACGATGGATCCAATCTGATTGGCAACCCCAGTGGCCATCCTAAAATCAGAAACTATGATTGGCTTACCCTAAGTGCTTTGTCAGAGATGGGATTTATATCAACTATATGGGCTGTGTTTCAACAAGCTGTTGGTAGCTTACTTTACTTTATAATGTCGCTCATATTCTTTAATTAGTACTTTAAATTGTGACATACAGCTTTTTGAGTTCAAGAAGTCATCTAAGACGCTATGTTTGGTTACTTTAAAAGTTAAAATTTACAGAAGAATATTACTAATTGGGATCCACTTCTTATTCAAACTGTGAATAAACTAATAACCCCAACTGCTAAAGTCTAAAGGAACATTGTTATTCCCATGATGTGAGAGGTATTTGGTACAGTCTGATTAACCACTTCCTGTATGTTTTACAGTCTGCTTCAGGTAGGAATCTTTTACTCAGGACTGAGAAGATGTGCCTACCACAACACATCTAATATCGTGCACTTTGGGTTCTTTTCTGTTTGAAATTGTATTTAATTATTTTTAGTATTTAGCATCTGTTATATTCTTGCTGTTGTTTATGTTATTCTGTGTTCGGTTTAGTTTGCTCTTGTTTTTGCAATTTTGTCAAAGCACTTTGTAAACCTGTAAAAAGGTGCTATATAAATAAAGTTATTATTATTATCATCTCTTGGCACTAGCATCTAGCAAGAGGAAATTGAAAAACAACAAAAATGGCATTTTGCCAGAAGGATATTGCTACTTGGGGCCCACTGATCTTTACATCAGATTGACCCTGCTCTCTCTTCATCAATATCACATGGCCCTATCCTGCAGCACCCCCTTCAGGACAAACCCTGAACCTCTTACATGGTGTGAAGTTACACATGTGGAAGAAATATTGGCAACACAGGAGGAAAAAATAAACTGCGCAGGAAGTGAGTGTACTAACAAAATGAATACATGTGCTATAAGTAAGTGACACGCCTGCTGCACACAAGCCAATTATTTTTCAGTGATATTTATGGTCTTTGTCTTGTCTCGATCACTAAATGTCTCGGTCTCGTCGGTCTCAGAGAACTCTGGTCTCAGGCATGTTGGTGTGGTCTTCACTACAGGACTATTTATTTGTTTACCAAATAAATTGCACATTAGAAAAAACATCCACCACTACATCATTGTATTAAGATAACTTTATAAAAAATTCAAAATGAACAAAGCGTGTCATAAAGTACCTTTAGAGGAAACTGCAGAAAGTTTTTGACATTACAATCTGGAGAAGATGTCAGCTGAGCAGACAGTTAAACATTTTTAAAAAAGCATTTATTTAGAACTCATTGAGCACACCCTCGGAGGTAATGCGGCACTGGCTGGCTACCTGGATTTTTTTATTTTAATCACTTGTCATTTCATTCCTCAAAAAAAAAAAAACAATGACATTAAATTGAAGCAGTAGTACAATCTCCACAAAGAAAACAAAAACAACAGAACAAATGTAAAGTACCATACATTGCCGGGATTACACAAGCATAACCAGTGCAACTGCAAACATCTGCTTGCGTGTCCTGTTTCCCCCAGAAAGACACAACGTAGACTGAAATATCACCTGGAGACTCTTTAAACCAACATCGAGACAGATGATGTGACTCCAAAACTCAAAGAAGAGAAGTAAACACAAGTAGTGAAGTTTGACTTCAGCCCAGAAGTCAAACAGGATCTAAAGGACAGGCAGACAGATCTTAACCATTCATGTGGGAAACTCGAGCAAAAAAAAGAAAGAAAAGAAACTCATCCTTTGGCTTCCGAGCAGTTCACTGCATATAGTACTTAACTGAGACACAATCCTCACACTGAACAAAAACATGTGCAGGCCTACTGATGTCTGGCTGATAGTGGTTTCCCTGGGATGCATCTATTAATCAGTCCATGCCTACGTCAATCTAACATCCACCCTTCCATATTGTTCTTAGAAAGATTTACAGCATGTCGTCTTCTCCTCCTCCGTACATGTCGGCCAGCTTCTTGAAGCGCGGCCCCCATTCATCGAGACAGTCGTAGTCCTGGTCGCCGCTGCTCGTCGAGTTCAGAGATGACAGGCTGCCTGCGTCAGAGCCGCCCCCTTCGTAGTCAAACACCAGCAGGGAGTCATAGGGGGGCGCTGTCGGGTCATTGTCAGCTGCCTTCAGATTCTGAAAGAGAAGCAGAGCCCGGTGTTTTCATGTTATTGAACATTTACTACTGAGAGATGATGAGGAATGTTGTTATGTCATAACAATAACATAATGATGTTATATATGGACATGTTTACAGTCAATGAAAGAAGCAGCACAGGGTTTAATTCAGTCACTTCATGGCCGTACCTGACCAAAACATGGAATAATGTGAAGACACTCTTTAATAAAACTTGAAATAACAGATGTGACAACATGGGGTTGTTCCTGATCTGCAAGAGCTCTTCATTCTTTTACTCACATCATCAATGAAGTTGCCAATTTCGTCTGGGTTGGCAGGGCGAGGCCGGTACTGAGGAGCCGGCATGAAGTTCGGCATCACGTCGTTCCTGAATACATCAGGCCGGTTGTCCAGACCACGGTGGAGAATACCCAGATCAAAGTCCTGATGGAGAAACAAGTCAGGGTTACACATAATGTGGATGTTATAACTGAAAATATTTTGATAGGAAGAGTATTATTTTATGATATGACAATCAAAGTCAAATGCCTGTTGATTACATTTACTGAAGTACTTTTCCTGAATACATTATGTAGATTCCTATTGAACAGGGAATTCTGCTGTTTCTGACCCTGAACAGGACATGAAACTCTTTGGGTCTGATTGACTTAATGATCCAAACATGAAACAGGCTGAAGTAGCTGAAACGTAATCCTTAGGGGAAAAATGGGCCTGATCAAAGTGTGGCAACTAAATGTCTGAAAACGTTCCAAAAAAGGGGATGCCAACAGTAATCATCCTTTTTGTTAAAGCTCCTGTGAGGATGTCCATTTTATTTGACGACAGAGCAGTACATATCATTTTTTGTCTTTTTTAAGTATCCTATGGTCTATAAAACGAACAAACAAAACCTGCTGATTCTGCAGTGTGCTGGTGACCACTTTGCCAGACACCTACCCTGCACCAGCGCTTTCAGACATGTAAAAATATGATGAATGATATGATGATCGTCTTATAGAAGCTAATAGAGGCATCAATATCAAATTCAGTCTGATCATAACAGGATGATTATCTACTGTTAAGTCTGGCTGGATCGCACTACCTTCAGTGCTTAACCAATCGAGTGGTGCCTCTCGCATCCCTGACTGTATATGTATATGATATTTCTGAAACGGTCCTTCATTCTTTTTACCAACAGTGTGATGTAGATCTGATAAGTTCTTCATCAAAAGGAAATCCGTGATTTACCTGATCATCCTCTCCACCTCCCTCCTCATCATAGTAATAGATGTCGTCTCTGATATCGTCATCCTGCAGTAGAGGCACTTTCTTCTCTCCTTTTCTGCGTCTGGCGAGCAGCAGCAGCAGCAAGACCAACACTGAAAATACAAACACAAAAAGGTGACTACAACAGCATGTCAGCAGAGAAGTTGACTACTGTCACTACTAGAGTCGTCTAAACACAAAGTTTTATGGAACAATTGTATTCATATTGATTTTGTG